TTATACAACCCCACACATTTTTACATGTATTTGCTTGGTCGGATTCGCTGTTTGTCCAACTCTGTTTGTATACACGATTAAGTGGAATTGATTGGTAGTGTGTGTGTTTAAACATTTTCCCCGTAATTTGAGTAGTGATTTTTCCTTGAAGTGATTCATTGGTTGTTTTGTACAACATGTTTGACAGGGTCGAGCTCATTATTCACCATGGAGGGAACTTTATTAGTAATCCTCGTACCATGTACGTAGGTGGTGAAGTGGACATCATTAAAGTAGATCCTGATTTCATAAGCTATACTCATCTGATGAAGTCTCTAAAATCAGGATCATATGGGAACATTTGTGGGCTGTATTACAAAACACCAGAACAACCAATGGAGATGTTACATGAATTGTTCAATGATGCATCGACCCTAGATCTGATATATATGGGTACAAGGTGTGGGATGTGTGAGATTTATGTACATCACAGTCTTGATGAGGCTGAATTAGTTGAAATTCCTCTATTACCTGTGCCAACTACGAATGCCAATGGTAAACCTGTACCTCAACATGATGAAGAACCTGTTGGTTTCACATTAAATGAAGAACCTGTTATAGGTGGTCATGCAGATGTTGACCAAACAAGTGAAAGGTTAACATCACATGATGCAGAGGAGGAATACAAAACTAAAAGTGACACCTCAGAAGGGGAAGACAGTGTTGAGTATGACTCATCGAATCCAAGAAGCTACAATGGTGAACCAGAACTACATGACCAACCTAGAGAACACTTTTGTACTTATAATCCTGATTGTGAGCCTCCTAACATACAGGTGGGAATGCATTTTGAAGATGGTACACAATTCAAGAGTGCTCTTGTTAGATATGTTGTGCATGAGAAAAGAGAAAATTTGCCAAAAATGAGCCACACAGAGTCCGGGTGAAATGTGGTGGTACATGTTCTTTTTCTTGTACTGGTACATGGGATGAGAGATTGAAGTGCTTTCAAGTGTCGGTTTTCAACTAAGAACATCAATGCAATTTGAAGTATAAGTTGGGGATAGTTAGTCAGAAATGGATTGCAGAAAAGTTTGAGGATAAGGTTGTTGATGATCCTACTATGACTGCATTGGAGCTGAAGAAACTGATTAAAGTTGAGCTCAAAATACACGTTTCTACCAGTATGGCTACTAGGGCTCTGAGGATTATTCAAAAGAAAACCCAAACAGATTGGAAAGAGCAATTCAAAAAAATCAGAAACTACGCAGAGGAATGCCTACAGTCTATTCCAGACAGTACAATGGTCATTCATACTACAAGAGTAGTTCCTGATTCTCCCTCTATATTTCAACGCATATATGTGTGCTTCGGACCGGTTAAAAAAGGGTTTCTTGAAGGTTGTAGGAAGGTTGTTGGACTAGATGGGTGCTTTCTTAAAGGTCAACTGAAAGGGGAGATATTATCAGCAGTAGGTAGAGATGCCAATAACCAAATGTACTAATAAAAGGGGAAGGGCATAATAAGTCTTCTTGTACTAATAAAAACACACCTACTGAAGAAATACCAAGAGCTAATCCGAGAAGAAGGGGTGCAAGGCAGGGTAGATCTACTAGAGGAGGAGGGAGGGGAAGACAACAAAGTGGTTTTGGTGTGTACTACAATCACAACACTGGTGAAACCCTTCTTGATGTAAGTTAAAATCTGTCTACTTCAATGTTGTTGAGGTGGAATTTGTTGTAAATTTGTATGTTCAAATGTGGTGTTACCTCATTTCAGCCTGGGCAGCTAAGTGAAACAGTACTGAATGGATGATGAAGATAAAGGGCAAATGAAGGTTGCATGATGGAAAGTCTTCTGGGTTTTTTGCTGGATGGGTGATGAAGATGTACAGACTTTTTGTTTTGCTTGATGGCTTTTATGTAATGGGATGTAAAGACTTAGTTGTTTTGTTGGATAAGTTATGTGTGGTGGTAGTTTGGCTTGAAACTGTTGTTGGCAGTATGTTTGGCAAAACTTTGTGAGCTTTTTTGGGTGAATATTGGCTATAAAGTTGCTTGTACGTATGGTATATGTGGATCAGAACTCATGCTTTTAAGTTCTCAAATCAGTGTTGGTTTTTGGATGTACAATCATGTTCAATTCAACCCATTCACCTTTAGTATGAAGCTGTTTTTTACTATAACAGGTACATATATATTAAATGGTGTTAGGAGTAGGTCAACTCCTATTCAGTGTGTTTAATGTTGGGATCCGTTTAATGTTTAATTCATCTTCAATTCATCCCATGTTTAATTCCCAGACAATCAGAATCTTCATAGACATACCAACACAGTATGTTCAATTCAGACCATTAAATTGTACCAAAAGTCAACAAAGGATGAAAAGTTTTACTATATTAACAATGGAAAGTGTTAAATGGTCATCAATAAGTACTACATTAGCAATGAAAAACTGTCATTACAGACTAAATGGTGTTCATGAAGTTTGGTTACACCAGATTACAACACACTACTACAACCACTAATATATGCATTTTTTTTGTGTTGAAGTGCATATACAACATACCAACAAAAGCAACTACATCAATGAAAACAAAAGCAACCGATTGCCTAAATTTTTTGTTTTCCTTGGCTTCATTTTCAAGTAGCTTTGTAAGATTAGCAATTTGTCCTTCTACAACCCTTTGTTCAACCATTGCAGTAGTCATGAACCTCACATTGTCTGCTTTTGTCTTAATCTCTTCTCCATGATGTGTGCCTCTTATATCTACATCATCCTTCCACAAGAAAAATCCACATCCCATGTTAACCTGGAATGGAATGTCAGGGATGTTCAAACATTAAAGGGAACATTAAATTGACAATGGGGGAATTGTTTACCCTCAAAATTTAACAACAAACAACAACTTAAACACTCCCATCTTTTTAAAAACCGAATTCAAAGAATTAATACTTCTCCCTGTTTCGCTTACAATGGCGAAAGAATGAATACTGTTGTAGCTATATTTTTACCTTCCATTTTTGACAACCATAAAAACTTCTCCCTGTTTCGCGTACAACACACAAGGGGGATTTCAATCCACAAAGGCAATACACAGGCGGTTCATACAAAAGAGTAGAACTTCGTCCTTTAGTGGCAGTAGATGCGGATGAAGATGCCATCTGCTTTCGTTCGAAGACGACGACTGTTACGACCCAGGGAGGAAGAAGACTCAGACTTGTGTTTAGGGTTTAGTTTTTTATTTTTTAATATACTCCCATTGCATCTTTAAAAATATTTGACATGTCAACTTACTCAGCCAACTTAAAAACTGCCACTTAGGCTGCCACATAAGCAGTGAACGGGTTTACCGGTTGGTAACCTTCCAAACGACCTAATTGGTTGTTTTTTTAGACTTCGTGGACTGAAATGAACGAATTTAGAGTAGGGCTTAATTGACTTTCCGTACAAAGTAGAGGGGCTTATTTGACAGTTTTCCCTTAAAAAATGGATAAAAAATATTCGCTCCATATTTTAAAGTTCCTTACATTAGCTTTGAGCACACAATTTAAGATGAAATAATAAGGGCAAAGTAAAGTGATAAAGTAGAAGAGAGAAGATAAATGATAAAGTAGAGTGCTCTTCTAAGGTAGGCATCTTTCATTTGAGGTGTTTTCGGGTCGAATTTTTAAATGAAATTTTGTGAGAATACTCTCGATGAAGTATAGTTTATGTCCACCAAATTTCAACTTAAATATTAATCGGGAAGCCAGTTAACTAAATTATTGACAAAAACTGCATGTTATATGCATTAAAAACTGCCCAATTTTAAAAAAAATTATTCAAGTGACTTCCCAATTGAATTTTAATCTGAAATTTGGTAGATATAATAAACACTTCAAGGAGAACATTCTCACAAATTTCATCGAAAAAATCGTCCCGGGAGCACCTCAACCGAAAGAGGCCTAAAATTTTAACTTTTAAACCTACCTTACATGAATATTTTCCAAGGATAAAATATGTGAGAGAATGTAATTAAAAGAGTAGTGGGTAGGTCCTGGTAAGATATAATTGATTAATTGACTAATTGAGCGAGGATAAAAAGATAAGGGTAATAATGTGTTTTCATAGATAATACTTTCCTTAATGAGAAAGTGTAGGACACTTTTAAATAAAGCCCTTAATGTACTACGTACATGTTTGCTAAAATATCCTGTTTGGTGACCCTATTTATTATACCAGTTTGGTAATAATCATAGCTTGACAGAATTACATGACTCACCCCAAATGTACTACGTACATGTTTGCTAAAATATTCTCTTATAATGTCAAGAAAGTGTAATAAAACGCAAGTGCCACAGAATTGTTCGTTCTAATAAAAAACAATCATAAATGCAACTTCACAGTAGCAATGATACTAATGCAGTAATGTTTTTGTTCTTCATTGTAATTAAATTATACGGAGTATAATCTTTCAAGGGGATTAGGAAAGATGATTCAAGCACTCAGTTCCAATATAAATAGTTTCCAAGTCTTCTACGGAAGCAGAAATCATAGTGTGATTGAGTACACAATTTATAACGTTCTCTCTGCAAACTCGATCATCATGAATAATGATCGCATGAAGAAGATTAAGAATGACTATCATTTTGTAACGTATATGATCTCATTGTTTCTCATGTGCTCACTAGAAAACCAGCTAGATATATTTTTAAGAAGGGCCTTTTTGCAAAAACCAGTTTTATTCATACGAATACACCCAAACTCATTTAGGTGTACAGTTTTCTCATAATGGACATAGTATGAGTGTATGACTTCAGACTGATTGGTCTAGATCCTGCAAAGGCTATAACCAAAATTGCCAAGGTGCATTATAATACCAGGTCTAGTTTCGATTCCAGTCTGGTTTCTGCTCGATGCATACCAGATTTTGAAAACAAATATGGAGGGGAGGTGGGGGGGTCGGGGGTCGGTATATATACACATTTTAGACAACCCAAACCATACATACTGTGATACTGACACAGGATCTAAGTTTCCCGGCCAAGAATTCCAGGTCTAAATGTCTAATTAAAATCCGAAACCATCCCCTAATCATGACATAGGCACATAGCAACCACAGAGTATGATCAAGTCTTGCATAGAATGATCGCTCAAGTAAGCTACACGAATAATATGTAATACTTTCCTAGGCACAGTTAGTATACTGTTGTCAGGTGATTATATTCCTAGGCTTACTTAAGTTTGTAAACTGTTGGGCGACTCTGATCCTAGGCTGACATCGCTCATTTTTTCAATGACAGTCTTTTCTACTACCCCAAATCGCCCTTTTTATTTACAACTACAGGCAAGCTTTCCCCGAACATAAAATATATCCACCTGTTTACTGCTGCTTCATGACTGAGCGTCATTTATTGAACCCAGACGAAAATATCTTTCAAGTGTCAAGAACAAGACACAAGAAGATTTTATGCATCATCACTCCTTGAAGGAAGCAAATTTCGGAATACCGCATTTTCTAGCAGGAAGAATGGAAGATACCCATGACTAGGAGTTCTTTGATTCTTTCTCAGTTAAGGTGAGCAGGGAAGGACTTCTAAACCACTCCCAGTGCCAATTACTTTTCCTTGCATCGATGATACTGCTAGCCCTTCAAAAAGAATTTCTTGAGTGTAAATACTTGAAGTCTTAACCAAAACCCAGGGGAGATCAGCATATCCCTAAAGCAGGAAATGTTTATACAATTAGAATAAATGGCTTAAAATTCAGAAAATTGAAGTAGTTCTTTTACTTATTTATATGAGAATCAGATTGCTGCATTGACGAGGAGTTACTTCTACAAGTTCTCTCTTTCATCTACTTTCTATTATCATCTGCCGAACAGAAATCTTTTAGTAGATGGCAGATGAAACTGCAATATTTCTCACATCTAGATACAACTTACAAAACATGCACTGAATCATTGTTGCAATTATAGTTGTAATCAAATTCTTGTTATGTGAAGATAATTGGTGATGCGTGTACACTATCTAAAAACATGTGAGAAATATAAAGTAGCTTCTTCATTTTTTCTACTTTTGACAGTAGGGATCTCCAAAACTATTTCGGACCAAATTATCCTGCGGACCCAATATTTAACAACCAGGTAAACCTTCAGCGAACCTCCAGGAGTTCAAACTAGCAACCACAAATAAGTTCCTTGGTTATAGCCAGTTGAACATCCCCGGAAGTTTAATTCTTCAGTGTTTCAAACTATTAATGTGTGGTCAAGAATCATGGTTAACAATCTTAGGTTTCACCAAATGGAAACTTATGCTACTACATATATGCCTATATGCACAGTACACATACACATGGAAAAACTACATTCTTCAAGTGAATGTTAAATGCATTACTCACTTGAGCCTTAGTATCAAGAGTTGAAATTGAGAATGATGTAGTGACCTTAAACTCAAAAGCTTGATATAAGACCAATGCCCAACTCCTCGGCAAGTTCATCCCATACCGGAAGAAGAACCAACACTCCAAGAATTACAGCCACCGAAAGAAGTGTTTTTCTCCAGGTCCCAACCTCTGTCACATCATTCAAGCAAGGCTTCTCTGGTGTCCTCTGTGCAATAAAGAACAGAGAGTTCAAGTTCAGGAGAGAGACTGTAACTGAAGCAAGATGAAATCATTTTTGTCTCATTCAGTCATTCTATTTATCAACAAAAACAACAACATCCAAGCCTTAATCCCAAAAGAATTTGGGGTCGGCTAACATGAATCGATCTATGATATCAAAAATGCCATAGCGATATTCATATTTCGATTCATGTCATGTGATGTGACTAAGTGATACTGTTGGCAGTCACACGCCTACCACAGCACCCTCCTCCTTTATCCTGGCTTGGGACAGGCATGATACCAAAAAAATGATCTCATGGCGGAGTTAGTCGTTCTATTTATCGTGGAATTAAAATTTAAATTACCTGGCATATAAGAACGTATAATCCCCATGGTAGTGACAATGGTCCACCAAGCTGGGAAAATCGACAAATAATTTTTTTATGAGCATTTATATTCTGGAAATTACGGAGCAAAAATGGTGATATACTGATACATGACTAGAAGGAATTGTCTGTTAGTAGATTTTTGTTCACTGCCATATGATATACTTTTATACACATTAAATAGTACAGAAAGCACTGTTTTAAGAGAAGCAATTCACTGATCTGAGAAATTAGCTTTTGCTCAGGTGGATAGAGAGGCTGACTTGACTAATTATCTGAGAACTGACAAGAATCGGGTGACACATTATGCTGACTGTCTGACTATGGGAATTAGAGAATGACATTTTTTGCATAAATTTAAGAAGTCTAAATAGCAGGTACTTGAGAAGAAAGAGCTGATAAGAATAATCCATTGTGACCCAGTCATCTCATCAAACTGAAGAGAGCACACCACAGTTACTCTCACAGTCTCACCAGGTGCCTCTCTCAAGTCTCAACACATTGACCAGAATGAAAAGCAATAAACATTAGAAACCAGTTCAGCCAACAGAGCCAGCGTCAGCATTGAAACCACCCAAAAGGGCCGAAACTCCACCCCCAACAATTTAAATTCGAGGTCCCAATCAAGATCCCTGAGGCTTACCACTCCTAGCCCCAACATTGTATAGCTTGCCAGACCAAAAGCAATCAATGCATTTTTTCCAAAAGCACTCTGCCAGAAGTTCAATGTAAAATTAGCAATTACGAAGGAAAACTGTCCATCATTAGTGAAACCCCAAAAAATCAATCGAAAAATTTAAACATAACTAATAATAATACTCCCTCCGTCCCATAAAATAAGTCCCATTTTCCTTTTTGGGCCGTCCCAAAAAATTGTTCCCATTTCCGTTTTTGGAAAGTTTTGTGTGGCTAACATTCATTTACCTTTTTCTTACTCAACCACAACCATACATTTCCACTTTATTCCCACTTTCTTAAACTCCGATCCAAATTGAAATGGGACTTATTTTATGGGACGGAGGGAGTAGTAAATAATTATAGTAGAAACTAGAAGGAAATGGGAGTCCGATGCACAAAGGAATCCTCTCAAGGCGATGGTCTGGGGAAGGGTTCAGTCACAAGGGTATAAGGAGCAAGCCTTCCTTGTCAAATTTTGACAAGAGGCCGCTCCCAAAACTTGAAACCGTAACCACTCGGTCACTTAGCAACACCTTAACCGGTGTGCCAAGGCTCCCCTTCTATTGTAGAAACTAGACTTTGGAAACAATTATCATCCTTCTAAAATGTGTGTGCATGTGCGCGCGCAGAGAAGCTTCTCAGATGTGTGAGCGATTGGCACAACATGTATAGCTCAAAAGATATGGTGGTGTTGAAAACTGACACATTACTTTTAGTCATTAAGAAATGATGTCTTAGCTTTTTAGGAGAGCCTTTATCCCAACCTCAACCAATTATGGATAATATATTTATAAATAAAAGTAACCTGCACAGCTCTCCCACCATCAAGAGACCCAACCGGAAGCATATTGAAAGCTGATGTTGTTAAGCCACACCTGCCATCATAACCTTATAATAAACTTGCAAGTTGTAAGTTAGGAAAAGTAAAAAGTGTGAAATTAAGTATTTACCATCCAGCAATCACAAAAGGATGGATTGAAACTGAAGTTGCATGGAGTTCTCTGGGAAGTACATAGTCAAGTTCCAAATATTAGCTAATGCAGATGAATATGGAAATGCAATAATATCTTAATTGTTAATGACGCGATATATATGCTCTTCCTAATTTCCATTTCTAAACATATAGCAAAAAATATGCAAGCACAGAAAGAGCATCTTTTAAAGATCGAGAAATGTAGTTGAAAATTATGTTCCAGGAACTCTTATTTGGCAGAAGTTTTGGAGGGCTAAACTCACGAATAACCAAGAGCAGCTCTACTGATAAGCCCAAGAAGCAAGGACCCCTGGAAAAGTGTGCTAGGAACCTGAACCAAGTCTCCTGAAGCATTTGGGTTTGAAGAAAGTAATAGCCCAATGGCAAACATGGCAGAAGACAATGCAGCACCAGCAATTGGGCCAGCTATGGAAATGTCAACCTTTGCTTTTCGGTCAGGAATAATAGACTTGAACTGCAGCGCCAAACACAAAGTATGTAAACAATTAACAAGATGACGCATAGCATTTCCCTAGTCCTGACTATAAATTTCAATCAAGCACAAAAATGGAGATTAGTTTTGGAAAAGATAAAAAAAGTAAAAGATGCAGTTCTGCAATATGTAGGATATTTCCTGCATGTTTCTCAAAAGAATCTCCAATGTGGGGGCGGTGAGGCTTGAGACAAGGCAAAAAAATTCCAATTAATGGTGCTTCTTGGCATTTTTGCAAGTTCATCGCTGCATCTATGCTTCCTATTATAAACCAACTTGTGTGGAGTTATGGGCTATCCAACTTTTGGCATATGAATATATTCTCAAACAAATCATTTTGACCGACACACACTGACACAGATATATGTGTACTGCATACATACGCTTTTTGTGTGTGTGCACATCATGGGTAACGTATGCATAACATATGGGAAGCGATTTAGTGTACAATTAGCATGAAAGACTCCACTTATGCGACATTTAACAGAAACATCAAAAAGATCACTTTACCAATTTCACTAGGTTGTCATTTTCTAAAAATGAGACCTCCTCCGTCCCATTTTCAAGACACAATTTTCCTTTTTGGCTTGTCCCAAAAATATGCACACTTTCCTAAATTATACTTCACTAACTTTTCAATTTCCAGCTTAATACCTTTATGACTTTATGTATCATTTCAGCTTTCCACTCCTTGTGGACCAAGTCTGCTTTTTCTTATCTTTTTTAGATTAGAATTGCAAAACAACAAATGTATCTTTTATTTTTTTTAAACCTGCACCAAACCCAAATGTATCTTTCATAATGGGATGGATCGAGTAACATATACTCTAACCTGAGTGATCGCTCCGAAGCTCCCGAGCGTGATATTTGGAATAAAATATGGAATGCTCAGTTTCACTTTTCTCTGGAAGGCAACCAGAAGATGCCCAACTTCCTGCAAAAAATCAACTCTTTCATGTACATTTAGAAAGCAAAAGGATTGTTAAAACCTTAAAAGCATACAAGTATACGAGGGAAGGATACGTAGTTAGAATCGCACACTGAAATTCCAAGGGCATCAAAACAAGTTGTTCATTCTACTAGTAAATGTCTGGAGCAAAGCAAGTTGTTCACTGTACTATTCATTGTCTGGAGAAATATATACTTACAGTTGTACACATTTATGTAAAATAAACTGCATCTTTAATAGGATGGATATGACAATGGCATGCACGACATATAAAAGATGGGGGGAAGAACTAGCATGGTCAGGAAGTTTCTCATAGATGCATAAAATCAATCACAGATTGGCTTTTAGCCTTATGTTTCTTGTTATGATTTGGGCTCTTGTCAATTCTTGTGTGCCTTGAGTCTTGACTAGGTCGGACACTGAATTATACCTTAGGTTTATTTCGTTCTCTGTCGTAAACCATAGATCCAAAATTTCTTATTGGCTAACGCTCTTAACAAAACCTTGTTGTAAACACAGAATATGCATTCACTTCCGTCTAGTGTTAATACAGAGTTTAGTGTTATTTTTAAACAGCGTGACTCCAACTGTGATAAGTCAAACCTCAGAGCATCGTTGTGAAATTATTTCAAAGAAGAATATTAACCTATGGGTTGAACTTTGATTTCTGACTTAGGCCCAATAATCTTCAGTTAAGATGTAATTAAATTATACCAACTAACTAACTAGCTAAAAGAAAAAGATTCTTACATGAAATAACTGCACTCCCAGGATACCATAGGCCAAGGGCAAAGCAGAATCAATGAAAGGTATTAAAAGCTGCATATCTGGTGGCTCAGTGGCATTTGGATCAGTAAAATACTTAACTACCTCGGGAGAAAGGCGATTAATCTGTTTTAGCAACAGTCACAATCAATTAGAGCACTTCTATTGAACCTTTGTGCACTAAAGATAATAAATGATTCGGGAATTGGCGAGAAGTGATCATGTTAAAAAATTAGCATTAAATAAAAATATCTGCAAACCTGAGATGCAATTCCTAGCTCCACGGACGATCCAATTGTAAGAAGAAACAATATAACAGCAATTACATACTGCCATAAAGTAGTTTGGCCGGGCTCAGAAACTTCTTTACGCAGCATTCCAAAGCTGACTCTAGGCCCACCACGTGGATCTAGTCCTTCAGAATTTGGTTCCTCCACCATGAATAAGTTGTACGTATCACCCATAATTTCAAATAGTTGACTTTGAAGTTTGGCAAAAACGTCCTCCCTCTTTCCTCTAAGATTTCCAATGAAAAGAATACCCTCTCCCAGATCTCCAAATGGTTCCTCTCTTGTCACCCAGAAAGTGGAATAGCCAAAGAGTTTCTCTTTAATCACCTTAACATCAGAAGGATCAACTTTCTCAGGTCCAAGAAGTTCCATCAATTTGAAAGAATCTAGCTGAAAATTGTTATAAGGTGATCCAGAGAGTGTTGGCTGCTGCAAAAGCCAAAGACAAATGGTCTGTTACATAAAAATAATTATATCTTAGTCTTTTTATCAAAAGCTGATGGTTTCCAAAACTTTCTGTGATTATTATTAACACACCAGTGAAGAAGCTTGTCTGATATCTTACCAGATTCACTATTATCTGGTGTAGTTAGTTAAATCCTCTGATCATTTGGTAATCGGTACCCTCTCAATATTCTACAATTCCAGACCAAACGAGTCTTATTTGCTACTGGCCAGCATACATATCATTCTCACATTTAACTGTAGAACCAGTTCTAATAGAACAAATATCAGTCCATGCTCAGTTTGTCCTAGCTTTATAAAGTATAAACTGCTTCACTTGACATCCACAAATGGGATATACTTTATATTTGGTCCAAAAGGTGGAATCTCCCACCCCAGGAGCCCCCACCCCGACCCAACAGGATGGTGGGGGAGTTAATCACGGTGACTCAGTCAGCAAAGCGGCGGTAGGCCTTATACACGTGTGCACCAGAGCTCCAACCTTATTTCAGGTTTTGTAACCTCCACACGACCGCTGCGGGTTTTGAACCTTGGTCACTTGGTCCAATTTTCCCACCACTTGACCAACTGAGCTACCTTGTGCATCTTATCTTCTAAAGGTAGGAATAGCACCTATAGAAGATAAGATGCATGAGTCTCGTTTGCGGTGGTTTGGACATGTGCGTAGAAGACCGGGTGATGAACCTGTTAGACAACTTGAGGGGTGGGGAGAAGAGGTAGAGAAGAGAGGGAGGGGAAGACCCAAACAGACTTGGGTTAGAGGAATCAGAACTGATATGCGGCTCCTTGGGTTGGATGAGAGTATGGCTTTGGAGAGAGCAAAATGGAGGACGCACATCCGTGCGGACGACTGATGTCTTTTCTACCTTTCCTCTCTTTCTTCTTTTATCGTTTATCTTCCTTACCTTTGTTTATTCTTATGTTATTTTTATATTCTAGCTTTTTTATGATCTTTTTTTATCTTTTATCTTTCTTATATTCTTGTGTTGTTATCTTTTATTTATCTTTATTTTATTCATTTTATCTTACTTTTTTTTCTTCTCTTTCTTGTCCATCTTCTCTGCTTGGCATCGATATCATTGATCGATTCATGTTAGCCGACCTCAAATTCTTTTGGGATTAAGGCTTGGATGTTGTTGTTGTTGTTCGACCAACTGAGCTACCTGTGCGGGTAAAGAAAAAAAAAACATACTTTTATATTATTCATTTTAATCATATGACAATTAGGTATCTATCCTGAATAGTTTCTCTGAGAGTTGCCATTTATCAAACTTTTATCATCCTCACACCGTTTGTGAAAAAATCAAGGAAATAAGAGACAATCACACTGAATTGCTTAATCTCTTGCAAGATATACTATCACCATGTGTTAAACTAATTCTGCCGATCATAACTTGAGCGTGAGTAGCCATTAGACAGTAATTCAATCTTAACTTTAAAAAACAATTTCAACAAAACTAATATTAGGATGAAATCTAGTGTACCTTTGATTTTTTCCCTGTTTCATTATACGTCAGCAAATTGAATACGGTTAATGTTACTATTCATTTAACTATTAAGTACCTATCCTGAATACTTCCTCGCGAGAATGACCAATTATCCAAATTTGAATCATCTTCACACCGTATGTGAAATAGTCAAACGAATAAGAGATGAGAATTGAAAAATGCTCACTCTTGAAGAAACAGACGCCGGAGAATTATCAGAATCCTTAGCACCGCCTGGGCCGCGCCTGTCCTCAGCGGTGCCGTCAGAAGCCACAGTGGTAGACGTGGTTGTAGCAGTGTTGGAAGAGTTGTCCTTTTCCAACTTCCCGTCTCCACTGTTACTATCACCATTACTGCCGCCGGTGCACCTAATTATCAATCCGCCGAAATTTCTCTTCGAAATTCTGCTCACCTGAATTTTCCGTATCAGTGTGCAGACCCTGCGGTGATTCAACCGGAACCTCGGATTTATTGCGCTGCAAAGGTTGGAGCTTGTGAGCGTTGTTGTCATCGTATTGATTCTTCACTTCATAAGCATCGCCTTCACACCTTCGCTTCGCTCTTTATGACCTGTTTGGATCGTTAGGGAGTGTTAGTAATAGAAGGTTTAGGAGAAAAATCAAGAGGTTAAGAAATGTTAATAAAGGTTAGGAAGGGTTAAAATAATTTTCCTAACACCTCAATTGTCCACTTTTTTAACACTCCGATTTGGAGTGTTTTGAAGTGTTGGATAATTATTACATTTCTCATTTACCCTAAAAATATAAAATGCTTCGAAATCTAACTTCGAATCTCTTTGACGCAGGTTTAATGGTCTGCTTTTTTATCTCTTCTCCTTACTCGTTTCTTCTAGCTTAAGGTAAAATTATTAACACTTCCATTATTAACACTTCATTCATTTGACTTTCTCAAACAAGATAAAATTATGTCTAACACTTACACTTCTCTTCCCTTCTCGACCCATAGTAACACTTACAAACACTCCCATTACTAACCCTTCCAAACACTCCATCCACACAGCCCATTAGTCTTCACCTGAATGGACCACGGAGTATTCCATGAAGCAAAAACGTTTCGTAGAAAATCGGGTTGTCTTGTACGTACGGTTTATTTTCCTAGAAGTTAAATAATCTAACCACTCAAAAAGAGCTTGCGGGCTTGATTTAAAAAACTTAAAAAGAACATTTTTAAATTACAACATTTACTTAAATTAATACTTAATTTTTTTTTGAAACGTCATTAATACTTAAAAGTTAAAAGCCTAAAAGCTAGAATTTGTTTTTTATTTTTTTTCTATTACACAAACAATACATATTTTAACTTTTCAAAATCATTTTTTTTCAAACATTACTAACTTTTACTATTAAACATTTTTTCAAGAATCACTTTTTTAGGTGAAAAACAAAACCTTAGAGAGAGTAACGTAGTGTTTGCGTTTACTTGTGCTTTGTAAAAGTGATTTATTTAAGAGATTATTGAAAATGTGATTTCTAGTAAAAGTAGATATTGTTTGTAAATAGAAGTGTTTTTAATTAAAATGTAAAAGTTCAAGTGTTTGATAGAAAAGTGATTGTTAATGTAATATATAATTAAAATACAAAAATACCCTTGTGGTCTTGTCCAAAAAAAATGTAATGAAAAATGAAATTTCTTTCTCCATCCCCTCTTTCTCGCTAGTGAACTAAATCGCCGTCACGAATTCAATGTTCATCTCCTGTTCTTACAAGAAGGCTCCGGCAACGGCAGTGAACGCAAGGAAGTTGGATGAGGCAGTGGAGCCGGCTACGCTGGACAGAGTTCGGGTGGAGGTGAGACTCACTATACAGAAGGCAATGATAGAGAAGAAACTGACACAAGCAGAGCTAGCGAAACAGATTAACTTGGTCCAAAAGGTGGAATCTCCCACCCCAGGAGCCCCCACCCCGACCCAACAGGATGGTGGGGAGGTTAATCACGGTGACTCAGTCAGCAAAGCTGCGTTAGGCCTTATACACGTGCGCACCAGAGGTCCAGCCTTATTTCAGATTCTGTAACCTCCACACGGTCGCTGCGGGTTTCGAACTTGGGTCACTTGGTCCAATTTTCCCACCACTCGACCAACTGAACTACCTGTGCGGGTACGAAGCAGATTAACGAAGCCATTTGTATGTTCAAAGAAGGGAGAAATTGAAAAGTTACATAGAGTTGGGACGGAGAGAGCTTGGACACAAAGTTGAAGGTTGGTCTGTAATGGCGAGGGAAGGAACGAAAGTAATATGGATGATGTGATATGAAAGTGATGGTGGTATTTTGGGTTGTGCAGAAGAAATTAACCATTATATTCATGCTTCAAAAGGAGTTTTTTCCGGATTAATGTTAATTAATTAAATAATTACGGAATTAATATTGGGTTAAAACTATTTACCATTAACTCTGGTTGGGGAAAGTCACCAAACCGTTTGGCGACTTTCCCCTTCCCAAATACGTCAACACCCAAACGTTCTGTTTGAGACCGGCGTCGGTCTGGGCCCAACCGGGGCCGGTCGGGGGCGCCCCGGTGGCGAAAAATTGCGTTTTTCATTCTAAATCGATCCCGATTATCACAATTCACCGTTTGACGACTTACAAAACGCATACAAAACACAATTTGGTAAAAATGATACAAAGTGATACACCTGCTTAGAAACACAATATAAAAACAGCGTATAGACATCCGATATGCATAACCAAACACATCAACACATCATAAACAAATGAAAAAATATTAATAACACAATATCCATTTGTTTGCAGGTGAAAATACGTTAAACGGTAAAGTGTTTCTACAAAATTTGGTGTACATTATTTCGTCCAATAATAGAGAGACTACAACTTTTCATGGTCTTCTTTATCGTTTTGGTCATGGTCTTGATCATCAATCAGCCCTGGATCCGCTAACGCCTCCATAATGCCTACAAAAAATGAAAAGATTGTTAGTCAGTAATTGATAAATAATTTGAAATCATTATTTTATAATTCACATTACTATGAGTTGCAGAATTCAATAATTAAATACTTATGAAGTGGACCCCCCACCATCTCCTGAAGATCTCTTCGCACATGTGGCCCTATTATGACCGGTTTGTTTACATATTCCGCATCTTACGGTTCCTCTGCCACCTCCATCCATCTCATTCTTAATTCGTGTGAACTTTGGTCGTCCCTTTGCACGAAGCATGGATGGGTCGTGCAAAATTCGTGATCCATTGTAAGGCGGCCAATCAGCACGGTCGAGATCGAATCGGTTTAAAAACTCTTTGATATGAAGCGGCGTATCAACAAACATCATATAATGGCTCGGAGATATCTGTGTAGCATCATATAATTTTTGCACCATCTTACGCATACATGCGCCACGAGAAACAACAAACATCTGTCTCCTACCACCTTCATAGCGTATCCCCCCTGCTTCCTCAAATAATTTCCCCCCAAGACACACAATTGAGAAATTGGAGAAATCCATATTTTAATAACAATACATAACGATAATGGATGAATACACATTAATATACTAAATTTATACACCCAAATCAACAATCCATAGACATAAAACATATTTCAAAACTCTCATATTTCAGAAAATCATATTACATATACAACACTTAACAAAGGCAAATTAATAAGTTTTTCACCTGCAAATCATTCAACAATATAACACTTAATATTGCATATTCAACACTTAATATTACATTAAAATTCAACGTTTCATACATATTTACATTTCACAACAAATCATTTCACAAATCAATTCCTAATTAACAAATTCGAAAATCATCACTTTAAACCCTAAGTTCAAAAATGAGATGAAATTGGGGATTTGATGTACCCAGAGGTTGAAGAAGATGATAGAGGAGTGTATTTGCTGGGTGGAATGGCCTCCTAGTAGCTGTAGTCGTCGGAGTGGGGTGCTGCAATCGTTCTTCGCCGGAGCTCTTTTGTTTGGCTTCAATCGTTCGTTCTAGGGGTGGGCATAACAGTTCGGTTTGACCGAACCGAACTGTACCAAACCGAATTAAACCGAACCGAAACCGAACCATTTGTAATTTGGTTTGAGTTTGGTAGTATTCCTCCCAACCCGTATTAAACCGAACCAAATCGAACCGAAATATAAAACCCGAATAAAACCGAATAAAATCGAACTAATCTAAAAATGAAATAATTTCTTATTTTTTTAAAATAACAAATCAAAACCAACTTACACCAAACCAAACCAAACCAAAATATAAGATTTCTCTCATTAATTTGATTGATGTTAATCTTTTTGAAGCTTTAATTCTTTAATTTTAGTGTCCATGACAAGAGTTTACTACAAGAGTTACATTTACCATTATAACAATTAGAGTGGTTTAAGTAGATAGTATTTAACTATAATTTATTATCTACTACTACTATATATTTGGTTCATTACTTACAAGCACCAGTTTTGTTTTTGTTTCGGCTTTATATATAATTTGATTCATTCCCGTTGTTGTTGTTGCTTACAAATGTGTCATGCTTATATATTTTTGGTTCATATGTGTTTTGTTACTGTTTGCAAATTTATATCTAACATTATATTTGGTTCATAACTATCGCTTCTTGGTTCATTATTTTGAGTTTTTTTGCAATCCAAACCTTAATACTTTGGTAAACCGAACTCCAAACCGAACCGAACCATACCAAACCGAAACCAAACCGAAACTTAATCGGTTTGTATTTGGTACATTTTCTATCAAACCGATTAAACCGAAACCGAACCGAAACCGAAGAAAACCGAACCGAAAACCGAAATGCCCACCCCTAGTTCGTTCTGTCTGATAAGGTTTGCACAACAGTTCATTAAAGGGCAAAGTCGTCAAACGGTCTGGCGACTTATAAGTCGCCATCTGGTTTGGCGACTTTCCCGACCAGAGTTAAGCCCAACAGTATATTGGTAAATAGTTTTAACCCAACATTAATTCTGTAATTATTTAATTAATTAGCATTAATCCGAGAAAAAACTCCTCCAAAAACTGAAATGTTTTTTTTTTTAATTTTTCTCAAGCAGTGCCTAAAACACACATACTCGAGTTTTTCAGTGAAAATGCAAAATACCTTTGAGGTTTCAAAATACTCCTAAGATGTTTTCATTTGGACCGTTTTGAGTCTCATATCAATCCAGATCAGACTTAAACAGATCAAATCAGACCAGATCAAACTTAAACATACCAGATCAGACTTCCATAATTATAAAACACACAAAGATCAAATGTTTACCATACCAGTTCAGACCAGACCATATTTAAACAGACCAGATCAGACCAATAAATTTCACTTCAAAAGAAAACATCCTTACAAGTAGTCTTTTAGAAGATGAGACTCGAGGGGGATCAATTTCTGAAACTAATTCTACTTCTACTTTTAAAAAACAACCAGAAGCATGATCAATTCCAAATACCCCTTATAATTTTGAGAAAAGTATAGAGAAATACATAAAGTATCTATAGTTAAACATGTTTTCAAATAGGAGTGTGCATTTCAATTTTCATACGTAGTCTCGTTATTTTATTTCTTTATGACTCGAAAGGTTTGGTGCCTAACGATGCTA